GTTTAGGGTTGGTTTAGAGGTTCAGGAGAGGTTTGTTGGTGTTAGGAAAGTCTGGGGTGTTTCCAGGAAAAGCTGCGTGGTTTCAGGAAAGGCTGCGTGGTTTCAGGAAAGGCTGCGTGGTTTCAGGAGGTGTCGTGTGGTTTCCGGCGAGGCTGCGGGGTTTCACGAAAATGTGTGTCGCATATGATGTTGGAAGTCTGATGGTTACGGGTTGATTTAGGTGAGGTTTAGGGTTTGTTTAAGGCTCCTTTAGGGTTGATTTAGGTGTGGTTTTAGGTTTGGTCTAGGTTTGGTTTTAGGATGTTTTAGGTTTGGTTTAGGTGGTTTTAGAGGGTTGGTTTAGGGTTTAGGGTCGGTTTAGGGTCGGTTTAGGGTCGGTTTAGGGTCCGTTTAGAGTGGTTTTAGGGTGGTTTTAGCGTTGTGTGAGGGTTGGTTTGGGTTGGTTTAGGATTGGTTTAGGGTCGGTTTAGGGTCGGTTTAGGGTAGGTTTAGGGTTGGTTTAGGGTTGGTTTAGGGTCGGCTTAGGGTCGGTTTAGGGTCGGTTTTGGGTTGGTTTAGGGTCGGTTTAGGGTTGGTTTAGGTTGGTTAAGGGTCGGTTTAGGGTTGGTTTAGGATGGGTTTAGGGTCGGTTTACGGTCGGTTTAGGGTTGGTTTAGGGTTGGTTTAGGGTTGGTTTAGGGTCGGTTTAGGGTCGGTTTAGGGTTGGTTTAGGGTTGGTTTAGGGTTGGTTTAGGGTTGGTTTAGGGTTGGTTTAGGGTCGGTTTAGGGTTGGTTTAGGGTTGGTTTAGGGTTGGTTTAGGGTTGGTTCAGGGTCGGTTTAGGGTTGGTTTAGGGTCGGTTTAGGGTTGGTCTAGGGTCGGTTTACTAGAGGTCTGTGGTTGCAGGAAAGGCTGGGGAGGTTCATGAAAGAGTGATTGGTGGTTTCAGGAAAGACTGGACGGTTTCAGGAAAGGTTGTGTGGTTTCAGGAGGTGCCGGGTGGTTTCAGAAAGGCTGAGCGAGGCTGTGTGGTTTCACGGAAGTGTGTGTGGATTTAGGAAAGGAGGTGCCGGGTGGCTTCAGGAAAGACTAGGTGGTTTCAGGAGAGGCTGTGTGGCTTCAGGCTGGGTGGTTGTTTCAGGAAGTAGTTTCAGGAGAGGTTTGGTGGTGTCAGGAAAGTCTGGGGTGGTTCCAGGAAAAGCTGCGTGGTTTCAGGAAAAGCTGCGTGGTTTCAGGAAAGGCTGCGTGGTTTCAGGAGGTGTCGCGTGGTTTCCGGCGAGGCTGTGGGGTTTCACGAAAGTGTGTGTCGCATATGATGTTGGAAGTCTGATGGTTAAGGGTTGATTTAGGTGAGGTTTAGGGTTTGTTTAAGGCTCCCTTAGGGTTGATTTAGGTGTGGTTTTAGGTTTGGTTTAGGTTTGGTTTTAGGATGTTTTAGGTTTGGTTTCGGTTTGGTTTAGGGTTGGTTTAGGGTTTGTTTAGGGTCGGTTTAGGGTTGGTTTAGAGGTCAGTGGTTGGAGAAAAGGCTGGGGCGGTTCATGAAAGAGTGATTGGTGGTTTCAGGAAAGACTGGACGGTTTCAGGAAAGGCTGTGTGGTTTCAGGAGGTGCTGGGTGGTTTCAGAAAAGGCTGAGCGAGGCTGTGTGGTTTCACGGAAGTGTGTATGAATTTAGGAAAGGAGGTGCCGGGTGGTTTCAGGAAAGACTAGGTGGTTTCAGCAGAGGCTGTGTGGCTTCAGTTTCAGGAAGTGGTTTCAGGAGAGGTTTGGTGGTGTCAGGAAAGTCTGGGGTGGTTCCAGGAAAAGCTGCGTGGTCTCAGGAAAAGCTGCGTGGTTTCAGGAAAGGCTGCGTGGTTTCAGGAAATATCGCGTGGTTTCCGGCGAGGCTGTGGGGTTTCACGAAAGTGTGTGTCGCATATGATGTTGGAAGTCTGATGGTTAAGGGTTGATTTAGGTGTGGTTTTAGGTTTGGTTTAGGTTTGGTTTTAGGATGTTTTAGGTTTGGTTTAGGTTGTTTTAGAGGCTGTTGGTTTAGGGTTGGTTTAGGGTTGGTTTACGTTCGGTTTAGGGTCGGTTTAGGGTGGTTTTAGGGTTGTTTGAGGGTTGGTTTGGGTGGGTTTTGGATTGGTTTAGGGTTGGTTTAGGGTCGGTTTAGGGTCGGTTTAGGGTCGGTTTAGGGTCGGTTTAGGGTTGGTTTGGGCTTGGTTTAGGGTTGGTTTAGGGTTGGTTTAGGGTTGGTTTAGGGTTGGTTTAGGGTCGGTTTAGGGTAGGTTTAGGGTTGGTTTAGGGTTGGTTTAGGGTTGGTTTATGGTTGGTTTAGGGTCGGTTTAGGGTCGGTTTAGGGTTGGTTTAGGGTTGGTTTAGGGTTGGTTTAGGGTTGGTTTAGGGTCGGTTTAGGGTCGGTTTAGGGTTGGTTTAGGGTCGGTTTAGGGTTGGTTTAGGGTTGGTTTAGGGTTGGTTTAGGGTTGGTTTAGAGGTCTGTGGTTGCAGGAAAGGCTGGGGCGGTTCATGAAAGAGTGATTGGTGGTGTCAGGAAGGACTGGACGGTTTCAGGAAAGGCTGTGTGGTTTCAGGAGGTGCTGGGTGGTTTCAGGAAAGGCTGAGTGAGGCTGTGTGGTAGCACGGAAGTATGTATGAATTTAGGAAAGGAGGTGCCGGGTGGTTTCAGGAAAGACTAGGTTTCGGGAGAGGCTGTGTGGCTTCAGGCTGGGTGGTTGTTTCAAGAAGTGGTTTCAGGAGAGGTTTGTTGGTGTCAGGAAAGTCTGGGGTGTTTCCAGGACAAGCTGCGTGGTTTCAGGAAAGGCTGCGTGGTTTCAGGAAAGGCTGCGTGGTTTCAGGAGGTGTCGTGTGGTTTCCGGCGAGGCTAGTGGGGTTTCACGAAAGTGTGTGTCGCATATGATGATGGAAGTCTGATGGTTAAGGGTTGATTTAGGTGAGGTTTAGGGTTTGTTTAAGGCTCCCTTTGGGTTGATTTAGGTGTGGTTTTAGGTTTGGTTTAGGTTTGGTTTAGGTTTGGTTTTAGGTTTGGTTTAGGTGGTTTTAGAGGTTGTAGGGTCGGTTTAGGGTTGGTTTAGGGTTGGTTTAGGGTTGGCTTAGGGTCGGTTTAGGGTCCGTTTAGGGTGGTTTTAGGGTGGTTTTAGCGTTGTTTGAGGGTTGGTTTGGGTTGGTTTTGGATTGGTTTAGGGTCGGTTTAGGGTCGGTTTAGGGTCGGTTTAGGGTTGGTTTAGGGTAGGTTTAGGGTTGGTTTAGGGTTGGTTTAGGGTTGGTTTAGGGTCGGTTTAGGGTCGGTTTAGGGTTGGTTTAGGGTCGGTTTAGGGTTGGTTTAGGGTTGGTTTAGGGTTGGTTTAGGGTTGGTTTAGGGTTGGTTTAGGGTTGGTTTAGGGTCGGTTTAGGGTGGGTTTAGGGTCGGTTTAGGGTTGGTTTAGGGTCGGTTTAGGGGCTGTGTGGTTTCACGGAAGTGTGTGTGGATTCAGGAAAGGAGGTGCCGGGTGGCTTCAGGAAAGACTAGGTGGTTTCAGGAGAGGCTGTGTGGCTTCAGGCTGGGTGGTTGTTTCAGGAAGTGGTTTCAGGAGAGGTTTGGTGGTGTAAGGAAAGTCTGGGGTGGTTCCAGGAAAAGCTGCGTGGTTTCAGGAAAAGCTGCGTGGTTTCAGGAAAGGCTGCGTGGTTTCAGGAGGTGTCGCGTGGTTTCCGGCGAGGCTGTGGGGTTTCACGAAAGTGTGTGTCGCATATGATGTTGGAAGTCTGATGGTTCAGGGTTGATTTAGGTGAGGTTTAGGGTTTGTTTAAGGCTGGTTTTAGGATGTTTTAGGTTTGGTTTAGGTTTGGTTTATGGTTGGTTTTAGGTTTGGTTTTGGTCAGGTTTAGGGCCAGCTTCGGGGGTTCATTCGGGGTTCATTTGGGGTTAGGTTTGGGTCGGGGGGCGGCAGCCCTCCCCATGATGTTGGGAAGGGGATGTTGGGAAGGGTGATGATTCAAACAAAGGTACGCTTAATCTAAAAACACAGCGGGGGGTCGGGGGGGCGGCGGCCCCCCCATGATGTTGGGAAGTACGGGAAGCCCACTCAGGAAAGGCCGGGTGGTTTCAGGAGGTGCCGGGTGGTTTTAGGAAGACTGGGTTGTTTTAGGAAAGGCTGCGTGGTTTCAGGCAGGGGGTTCATGAAAGATTGGTTGGTGGTTTCAGGAGAGGCTTTGAGGTTTCAGGAGGTGCCGGGTGGTTTCAGGAAGACTGTGTGGTTTCCGGCGAGGCTGTTTGGTTTCAGGATAGGCGGGGTTTCAGGAAAGGCTGTGTGGCTGTGTGGTTGCAGGCTGGGTGGCGGTTTCAGGAAAGGCTGGGTGGTTTTAGGAAGGGTTGTGTGGTATCAGGAAAGGCTGGGGTGTTTCATGAAAAGCTGGCCGGTGGTTTCAGGAAAGGTTTGGCGGTGTCAGGAAATGGTTGCGGGAAAGACTGGGTGGTATCACGAATTCGGCAACAACCCTTTCAGAGGTAGCCTTTCATGAAATTTATAGCTAAGAAGCAAAAGTTAGTTTCCTGAAGCCAGCATGCTTCTGGAAAACAACTATTAAGCTTCCTGAACACATGTTTCCGGAAACTTGCGGGTATTCATTTCGACCTTCTCGGGGTTGCTGACCCGTCGTCGGCTCGGGGTACCCGACCCGACCGGCACCCGAGTGAGGGGGGGGTCGGTCTGACGAGTTGTCAATCTGTTTACCCGCAACTGCACCTTGAAAAGGAATCCTCCAAGTCCCAGTCAAAGACAGTGCTTTTGTTGAAGGTGCGGGTGGTTGTTGTTTGGTTCAGATCAATCCTCTTGTGCAAGGGATGCAGCAACCAGAAAATTGTCTCCCGCTGAAAGCTTTTGAGGAATGCCTCCACGGACATGCGATCACCTGGAAAAGCCAAATCAGATTGGATCAAGATGTCAATTCATCCAGCAGAAATCCCATCTAGGTGACATTGACGGCCTGCACTCACGAATGTCAGCCGTTGTTTTCCTCCTCGTCCCAGGGATCTTCCTGCGGCCGAGGTGCCAGTGCGACGCTCTGTCACGATGCCATTCTGACGCCTATGGATGCCCCTTGGCGTAGCTGTTCGTCTGAGCCATGCTAATAGAACCGGATACCCCAATGCAAATTGACACGGAACTCAAAGACCTCATTTGTAGAGAAATCTCCTTTTGGGGGACCCCTTGTTGGGTTCCATGTTAGTTTGCTGGGGAGTAGATAACTGTTTGCTGTGTTGAATCAGATACTTGCAAGGATCTGAAGTGTGAACATCCAGCCGGCTAGGTGCTTCTCCACTTCATACACTTTAAGATCATGAAGATTGACAAGCCTGGTGGCCTTGTTTTTCAAGACTTCACCTACAAAGCATGTTCCCCACAACTGTTCCCCTCAAACCAGCTAAAAGGGTTGGGGGTCCCTCGATGCTTTCGGCCTGTTCTGAGCAGCGGAAGTAGTACAAGTAGTACCGCGCAAGGCGGTGGCGGAAGTTTCCAAAAAAGAACCACTATAGGAGGCTTGAACAACCAGGGCAAACATGTTTGGGGCCAAATTGAAAACCAATCATGTTTTGTTTGTGACGAACATGGCCAAACGGTCACAAAAGAAATCAACAGGTCATGTCTTCACAGGCAATTATTCCACCGCTCGGCAAAAGCAGCGTTGAAGGCCGGCCAGAAAAGGCGCAGCCTCCAACGTGGACTTGTCACAAAGCACAAACTCCCAGTCTTCCAAAATCTGCTGCTGAGCTGGCTCCAAGCTTGAAAGTTTACGTCTGCAGAAATTTCTGGCTCGCTCCCACTCTGGTACCTGACTGCGCCGATTGCTGTTGAGCAAAGCTGTAAGCGTCGGCTTCTTCATTTGCACAAGCTCCTGCGAGTAGGCTGCCAAAAACGCCACCGTCTTATCAAATGCGTCTGCCATGGCGTCCGGAGCGGTCAGAAAAGACGCGCTCCACCGTGCGGGATACACAAGGAAACGATGTCACTGGCATGTGTCTGTGGAAGTATATGCGTTCTGTGGGAACACAAACTAAAAAAAAACATCAAGAGGTTGTCCGCCTGAGCGTGATGCTGGTAGGTCGGCTGGTGACAAACAACAAACTAGAACATTAACATGTTCTCGGCCTGTGTGTGGTGCTGGTGGGAGTGCTGGTGAAAGTGTAGTGGTGGTAGTGGTGGTGGTGATGTGAGTTGCCGCTCCGCGATTGAAGCCGGGACATGAACAAACATGAACAGTGGTGGTGGTGATGCTAGTGATGCTGGTGACGAAAACCGGGACATTGAACAAACATGACATACGCGGAGCAACTGACAAGACACAGCCGAAACGCCACACGGTCACAGCGACATTACCTCCCTATCTATCTATCTATCTGTCTATCTACCTATCTATCTGCCTGTCTACCTCTCTATCTATCGAAAAATCTACTTGTCTCTCTATCTTTCCAGCTTTCTATCTATCTATCTATCTATCTATCTGTCTGTCTGTCTATCTATCTAGAGCGCGACTAACTCAACAGGGCAGCTTAGGATGCCTTGCGCGTTGCCATTCCAATGTGTTTTACCACTGCCAAGCTGCATTCCATCTTAGAAACGCGCACCGCGCGCAAGCGCCACGCATTTTTTCCAAATTGGATGAAAGTCTTGCGCGTTGCCATTCCAATGCGTTTTACCACTGTCAAGCTACATTGCATCTTAAAAACGCGCACCGCGCGCAGGCGCCACGCATTTTTTCCAAGTTAGATGAGAGCCTTGCGCGTTGCCATTCCAATGCGTTTTACCGCTGTCAAGCTACATTGCATCTTAAAAACGCGCACCGCGCGCAGGCCGCTTGCGATTTTTTAAAGTTGGAGCTTCCAAAAGTAGCCCGACCCTGTAGTGTTTTTACGATTTTGACTTCTAAATGTGCACCGCGCGCAGGCCGCGTGCGATTTTTGAAAGTTTGAGCTTCCGAAAGTGTGCCGGGAATGTAGTGTTTTTACGATTTTGACTTCCAAATGTGCGCCGCGCGCAGGCCGCGTGCGATTTTTGACAGTTGGAGCTTCCAAAGTGTGCCGGGAATGTAGTGTTTTTACGATTTTGACTTGCAAATGTTCACCGCGCGCAGGCCGCGTGCGATTTTTTGCCAGCAATTCCGACCAAAGGCTCCGCACCCGCCGCTTTACCGAGGTAACTTCTGGGCCGTCTGGAGGCTCAACACATTGAAAAAATACAGCATTTCGCGACCTTTCTAACATTTTGCACACCATGCTTCATCTTTCTTCATCGCTTCTCTCTGCTACTTCTTCTGCTCTCTCTTCTTCTCTCTCTCTCTCTCTCTCTCTCTCTCTATCTCTCGCTCTGCACTGCTCTGCTTGAGTTGTCGATATTGTCGGAAGTTAGACTTCTAAACTTCCTTCCACCAGTGAAAAACGTAGGAGTTCTCTTGCCTGCCGCTTCACCAGTCTGGCATCCCCGTCACGTTGCAAGCATGGAGCAACATCGGCGGCCTTTGCATGAGTGTTTTTGTTTTTCATCCTGCCTTGCAGACAGCCGTAGGTGTTTCCGAAAATGATTGCTTTCCTTTCACGGTTTCGGGCTTTCTTTTCTTGAAAAACATTTTGAGGCATACCCACCGATGTTTCAGACTTCGCGTGGTGCTTCTCATGGTTCCCAGCAGCCTAGCTCTCGTTCTGATTGCGTGCGATTAAGTTCAGACCAACAAGGTAGGAACAAGCTCGGTGAACTTTGGGAGCCTCGCTTCCTACGTTTCTGAGCTTTTATATATATATATATATTTTGTGAATGTTGAAACGCATGTGGAAACATGAACTGTGTGTGGAATGCTTGACCACAATGGCATGTGCCATTTTGGCTCAAGCATTGTTCTGGGTTCCTGGAACCCAAGCTGATTGAAAAACTTTGATCTTTCGCATTTTCGAACTTAACCCCGACCAAGCAATGGCTTCCTCGGCAACCTCGGCAACTTCCTTTGAGTTGATTGAGGACCAGACACTCACCGTGGAGGAGGTTGAAATGGCCAGCCAGGAGGCCCAGGACATTCGCACACGGGAGGCGGCAGTGGCGGCCGGCTTGGTTTTGGACGAGCCCGAGGCCCCCCCGTCAGCTTCGGCGACCGATGTGATGAAGGACCTCTCCAGTGCACTGGAGCGTCTCCGAGTGGCATTTTCCACACCGACTCCCGGCTTGGGTGCCCCTGGCCCCGCCGAGGAGGGCGACCAGGACATGGGGGACGCGGACGGCACGGAGCCACACCACCGGAGGAGGCGCAGACGCCACCCACGAAGAGACTGAAGGGCTTCGTGGCAGCTTCTCAGAAGGCCACGTCTCAGGCCAACATGCCGGTGGACGGAAAGCCCGGGTACTTCAAGCTGGTGGACCTCCCAGACCTGTTTCCAGTCCTTCCAGCGTCGGCGGCCACCTTGCTGAGAGACATCACGATGGAGGAGGCGGTCTCCCTGTTTCACAAGTTTGTTGGGAAGAACCTCACGGAGGACCTGGTGATCCGCATCTTGGAGGCGTACGTCCCGATGAAGATCCAGCTCCGCCAGGAGGAGGTCTGGGCTTCGCAGTTCCAGAGGAACAAGGCGTGTATCGGCACCCAGCGCATGCACAGGCTCGATGCAGGTCATTCCGACTACAAGTTCATGTGCAAGGCATGCGGAACGGGGTGGCCAGCGGCAGCCAAGCAGTGCTGGGTCTGCCCCGGCAAGGAGTTCGCCCCCTTCCAGGCGCCACCTATGAGGCGGACGGCATCACCTACAACCTGCTCATCTTGGAGGGCAAGCCGACCTGGATCCAGCAGCGGGAATGGGGAAGCCTGGGTGCCGTTGGCCCCGGTGGTACCCTGGCACAGGCCGACCGCAACTTGGTAGACGGCACGGTCTTGGGGAGAGCCCCTCCCAAAACGGACTCGGCGGATGAGATCACCATGGCAGATGCGGTCCCGCTTAACAGGCGGGTGGACATCCGGCAGGAGATCCTGTCCATGAAGGCGGACGACGAGGCGTTGAAGGTCCGGGAAAGCCAGGAGATCAAGGTCAAAGTGCAGCGGTCCCTGAAGGAGGCGGAGGCTCAGAGCTTCAAGCTCTACCATCCCCAGGTGGACCAGGCGATCAGGAAGAAGGAGGAGCTGCATAAGGCTTGCGGGAGCATCGGGAACCGACTCCGGAGGAGGCCTCGGCCAGGCGGCGGCACAAGGAGTTGGTCACTGAGGAGACGCTGGACAACGAGATGGCGATCCTGGCGCCCCTCCAGGAGGGCATGCAGGCCCTGCCGTCCGATGAGGTGGCCAATGAGGGAGCCCGTGCCCTCAGGAAGGTTAACCTGGAGCGTTTCAAGGCCAAGCTGAGAGATCAGTACTTGGAGGGGAAGGGCGTTGACGCCAGCCAGGCATTGGCTGAGGCGATGGGCTCCATTCAGGAGGCTCAGGCGGCAAACAAGCGAACCCAGACCAGGCATGGATGCTCAATCACACTCTCAAGCCCTTGGAAGTGTCGGCGTGGCCGGATGATCTCAGGAAGGCCCTGGAGAGGGGCCTATTCTGCCCCCTGGAGCTGGATGACCCCGACGACATCCCCCGGTGGGGGACATCAAGGAGAAGTATGTCCCCTACATCAAGATGCTCAGAGCGTCGCAGAACCCGTGGCACCAGGAGGCACTGCTGGAGGAGATGCCCGAGCGGGGAGCCCATGTCCAGCAAGACCTGTCTGGGCAATGAAGCGGCACCAGGGAGAGCTCCGGATGTTTGGGGGGGTTTGGAAGAAGCACGCAAGCGGTGAGATCCGCCGGGGCGCTGACCAGCAGTTCAAGCTCGCGCCGGAGGAGATCCTGGCCCTCGAGCGCAGGACTCACCCATTCACGTGCGAGCAGGACCACATCGACCCAGTCATCTACACGGCCTTGGAGATCCGAGCTCAGGTGAACCGGGGCGAGCGCCCGGCACCGGAGCAGGTGGTTGGTATCTTCTGGGCGAAGGGGGATGGGGTGTTTTGGACCAGGCAGACGAGAACGTGGGACCTGCCGAGCCTGACGGGAGTGTACGCCCACAGGTTCACGTTTAAGTATATCTACTCGGCCTGGACCACTTTCCCGTTGGTTGTGAAGACGCAACGCCGGGGCCGCAATGCGGAGGGCTTGACCTCGAACAAGTGGATGGGCAACATCATCCAGATGAGGAAGGAGGCGGCGCCCTTCCTGGCATCCCCAAGCCTCGCAGCAAGGAGGAGTGGAGTTACATCTTTAAGGAGGGGGACATTCCTGGCAGCCAAGAATTTTATCGTGAACTGCCCGTTGCCCGTAATGGAGATATCCATGACAGTAAGGAGGCGCTGCGGTTCAGGGCAGTTTGCGATGAACGGATCACCCTCCCACTGGCCTCGCTGAAGGCCTTCGACTCGGTCTACACTAAGTTGGTGGCGGGCCTGAGCAATCGTCGATGGTGGAGGTGACGGTCAATTGGCGCTGCAATGTGGTCCATGACTGGGTCGAGCAGGTCCCGCAGGAGGCGGCGGGGGCCTTGTATGACAGGTTGGGCTACTCCCATGACCTCATCCGGCAGCTGGGTTGCTCCCCCCCTTTGGGTGCCGTTGGCCCCGGGGGGGGAGAAGGAGGCGGAGGTCCTGGGCAGGGCAGACACCACGCTCCGCACCCCAGACCAGGGCACCAGGCGGTACCCTCCCCTCACCGCGGCCACGGTCACGGCGGTTGCGGGCCGAAAGTACGTCAACAAGCACTTCCCCAACGAGGCAAAGCAAGTGTTTTGGGGCTCCGTGGAGTGCGGCTTGGTCTTGCCAAGCATCAGCCTGGGAAGTGGTGAGCAAGGAGAAGTTCAAGACTACGGGGGGCTACATGTGCAGATTTTGCAAGGGCTTCTGGAAGGCGAGCCGCGGGGGGACCAGGCTGCTCCAGATCACGGGGTGGCACAGGGATAAGGCCACCTGCTTGCAGCTGGTGATGGACGAGCCCCCGGAGCAGCTGTACAACCAGTGGATCCGCGATCGGATGGAGTTCTACAAGAGGGTGGAGCCAACGGAGCCTTTCAGGGATGAGCGGCTGGTCCTGGGCGACGCGAGCACCCCCCGCATGCGCTTCAGCTCCTCGAACGGCCTGGAGGATGTCTCCACGGCCTTGTGGTCGGTCATCCTGAGCAACCCGGAGAAGTTGGGGCTGGCGGCAATCCACTCGGTGGCGAAGGAGGCGATCCTGAAGAAAGGGAGCCGCTAGGTTTTGTCTCACAACCCTGTCGGATGTGGGAGTCGTGTGATTTCTTCCTCCCGGGACTTGGGTGCCCTTGGCCCCGTCTCAGGGGGGGGGGGAGGGGAAAAGGGTTTTCCTAATTGGGTTCGGTTTTCACCACTGTTTCCTTTCTTATTCAATTCTGGTGGCGAACGTGGGTTTTTCTGGTTGCTTGGCAGTGGAGCCACATCACGGCAGCTTGATCTCCTCGACCATGAGGCCACATGCAATGGCTGCCCCAAGGACGGGCCATCTCAGCCACGGTTCGGAAAAAGTGGCTGCGGCCGACTCTTGGTTTCCCTTAGGGCCCCTTGGGGTTTTGGGGAATCCCCCGCCGGGTCGGTCTCCCCCCTCCGTGCTTTTGGGGGGGGTTTCTGGGGGGTTGATTTTGGGTCGCGCTCCCCCCCCCTTTCCCGGTTAAAATCTCGGGACTTTGGGGGGGACTTGTCGGGATGCGTGTGGCCTGCCTGCCCCATCTGCACTCTGCATTCTGCAAGGTTGGAGCATGCATGCACTGTGCCGCGGTTGGGTCCCGGCGGTTCGATTGGAGGCTCGAACCCCCCTTTTTCATCATGGCTAGGGTATCTACCAAGTTTCTTATGCGCCCGCCTTACACACGTCTTTGGGACCGCATTCCAAGGGTCCTATGGGACACTTTGGCGGATGAGTCCTTCTCCCCGAGACAGACGGACGGGGAGCTGTTGGTCCTGATGTGCCTGCGCCAAGGCACTGAGGAGGAGGGGAAGAAGCTGGGCGGAGAGCCGGCAATCCGCTTCTCTCAGCTCCTGGAACTCTCGGGCATTCCGGTAGGACAAGACGACCACGTGGTCCCGACGGACTACTTCAACGGCAGGCTTCCCCAGCCTCTGTCCGCGGCGGACCTGGCCGACTTGTGGGACAGCCTATGGTTCCTCCTCCTGGCGACGCGGATGGCACGCCGAGCGGAAACTTTTCCCCGCTGGAGAATGAATGGGACCGCCAGGACCAATGGAGGTGGTTCTCACGAGATGACCCACCCCCACTCCAACAACCGGAGCTTCTGAAGTGGAGGCACTGGCGCCCGGGCAAAATAAGGGAAATGGAGCCCACGACCCAGCGAGCGCTGGAACTCCATATGCGCGGGAAATGGGCGGAACGGCTCCTCGCCCACTTTGCCCCGTTTGCGGAGCACATCGCGTACATGCAGGACATCCTGGGGGAGGACTTCCGCAAGGAGGCATTGGACCTCCTGGGGGACAATAGGTTCCGGACACTCAGGCAACATTGCCTGGTCTACGAGAGTCTCCGGAAGAGAGGCTTCACGGTGATTCCATGGCAGGAACGACATGTCCGCTCTCTCCTCAACCAGCTCGCCGAAGAGGAGGTCACCCCGTGCAAGCTACGGCAGGTGTGGAACACCCTCAAATGGTATTCCAAGACCTTCGGTATGCTGAAGATAGACGAGCTCCATCGCCTCAAGTCCAAGAAGAGCTCGTTGGAAGAGGCACTCACGGACACGGTCACCCGGCCGCAGCGCAAGGCGGTGGTCCCCAGCAAAGAGGTCATATGGGCTCTGGAGGAAGGGGCTGGCTACGATCACCTGGGTGCCACCAGCCCCGGTACGCAGGCGGCCCCGGGGAGGAGCAGACACGAGGCACTGGTCGCATTCATCCTGGGTTTCGCCCGGTTCCAAGTAGGGTGCAGCGCACGTTTCAATGACCTCCAGCATGTTCACCCCAAGGACCTTATCCACACCAGTAACACCGTGGAGCTGAAGGCCTGGTCAGCAGCACGAATCAACCGCAACCCGGTCCCCTTGATTGCTCCGAAGTACAGCTTCACGGGGATCCCCTGGTGGACTACCTGGGTGGCCACGGTCCGGCGACTGGTATCCGAGGAGGCATTCCAGGACATGGACTACTTGCTCCCGACAGTGAGCAAAGACTTCGCAGGGCTGATCCCAAGACCTTCCACACCAGAAAGGGCTCTGAGATGGCTCAAGGATGCTATTCTCCGTCGGGGAGTGACCCCGGGGTTGGTGAAGCCGCTGACGTGGCACTCATTCCGAGTGTTCATCCCGGACTGCGCTTTCCAGATGAGCCGTTGACATCTGACAGGGGAAGATGAGTCCCTGGCACCAACACATTGCTTGGATAAAAGAGTTATCGCTTGCTTGTGTGGTGCCGTTTGGTTAGCTTACATACACATATATATATATATATATATTTGCGAAGATCGTTTGAGTGGACAGCAACAAGTTTGGACTTTTTGAACAAGCTGAAGCGAGGAATCGGAGCCATCCTTCCCAAAACGCATCGTCTCCATTTCAGGGGCCTAAGCATACAACTGTTTTGATATTTTTTTATGCTTTGTTCCAGGATGTCCCCGCCTATAGTCCAGCTCTTCTTTTGAGACTGGACCTGCACAGGTCGTTTCAACACATACCGTAGATTCAGCTCGCAAGACTTTTGACCCTGGCTGTCAGGTGAGCGCACACTCACATGGTACTATACACGCTCAAGGGGCCCAACATTTCTTGAGCCCACGCATGCTCCTGTCAGCCTGGCCTTTTGCACAAAGGTCTAGCATTTGAGCACTTATTGACACTGGCCCAGCGCGTAGGCGAATTCGGCTGCCCTTTGCACAAGTTTTTGGAGATCAAAGAGGCCTAATTATTTTGAAAGTAGCACCACCCGGCTGGTTTGCCAGGGTTGGGAATGGGTGGGATCTTGTCGAAGTCTCGAAAATAGAAAACCTGAAAGGTGCTTATGTCAGTCGGATGCCACCAGAACTGTTGCGTCTTTGTAACTTTTGCAACGACAAGGTGACTTGTTTGCGGAATGGCTGATTATGCGCTCTTGTTTTAGAAGCCTTGGAGCCTTTGACAGGCCAAAGAGTCATGGGCTCAAAAGTACACATTTTGGCGGCCACACGTTTTACTGCTTTGTTATAAGGTTGTACCGTGTCATACACCACCAGCTTTGATTTCAAACTGAGGTGGTGAAGCAGCGGATGCAGCTGGGCGTGTACCGAAATGTAGGCCAGAACTGCGCCGATGCGCTGGGCCTTGCTGCGTTGGTGCACTGCTGTTCAGGGATCAGCCACGTCATCTGTATGTTCAGCCATGAATGCCACGTCAGCTCACAGGCAAAACTTTCAACACGAATCCCCTTGAAGACGAACTCGCGGAGCCGGATCCAAAGACGCACTCGCTTGACGCAGGTTAACATTTGTGTAAGCGTGAAAATTGGAGGCATTCATGTAACATTCATGTTTGCACGTTCATGTATCAAGTGTCGCTTTCAGAAGCGCGGCTTGTTTCAGCTTTCAGCACGCAGCGCGTCCAGGCGAATGCCTCCGCACGATCCTTCGGCACGAGGGCCTGTGGGGCTTCTACCGCTCTATGCCCACCACGTTGGCGCGGTATCGGGGAGTGGGTCGATGGGGATGCCTGCACAACGGTAGGAACGTGGCCATCCATTCGATCAAGGGCAGCGTGAGCTTGGGCTAATGGAGAACTTCAGATCATGGATTGCTTGGTCACAAGGCTAAGTTTGGCTGTTTCTGCATGAGGGTTGAGAGGGAGTATCAGGGTGCCAGTAGAAGTGTAAGTCCTGGAGGCAGGCAGACCAGGAAATTCTTGAGAGAGTTCAAGTTTTACGCAGACTCTCTGTTTTGGCCAAGTGCTGGGCTTGTGCAAGGCCTTCAGAACGGATTTGAAAAAACAACTCGTCCTTCAGGTGCCACATGGGGCGCTGCTTGCTGGCAGATGGATCGAATCATTGGCTGAATGGGTCTAATAGATTGCCAAGACTTGGAGTCTTGCTGGAGCCTTGACTGCCGCAACTCGTTTTGTTGGACAGTGCAATTTGTGATGCTCAATGCACCACGCCATTTCTAACATGAATGTCGGTTTTTGCAGAGAGAAAATGGGCTCTGACCCCCCTCGGCCAGGCGATGAACGTGCCTTTTGGTAGCATTTTGGCCCGGGACCTCAAGCTGCGCTTGGTGTGGTGTGTTGAATTCTCGGATGTTTGCTTCTTAGGGTCGACAATGTGAAAGTGTGAAGTTTCCCAATCGTCCCGTGGCGTGACAAGGGTTCAGGAAGAAGCCAAACCAACAAGTGGCCCCAAGTGGCCCCAAGTGGTCCCCCCCCTCCACTCGGAGGGTTTGGTCGCCTCAGTGCGCGCTTCCGCGAGGTGGCCTCCAATGAGTCCATGAAGCAATCCCTCGGCATCAGGGTCACGAGGCGCAGCTGGAGTCTCGCCGAATCCACAGATCTCCAGGTCAATGCGCAGCTCTCGCTATGTTTTTGCCTTGCGCACGCTCTTGTTGCGCTGGCTATTCTTTCGCGCTATCCCTGCTTGACCAGTTTTCCATCCATGCCGCTGGTCGTGTGCTTTGGGATGTGTCCAGATTGTCCCGTGGCCTGCCTTCGTTTTGCTTTCGGCTCACCGCCGAGGAGTGTTGGCTCGTATCAACCGGGGCATTCAAAAGTGATTCCGTGTACTTTGGCTCTGTTTCTAGGATCATCGAAGTGGGATCTTCTCTCCGACACCTGTCCAGGGCTGACTTGTAACATCATTTGATGTGAGCATTTCAGCCGGAATTTCAGGTTTGTTCGTTTGAACAGATGCTGATTCTCTGAAGGTCAATATCCAACTGGCCAGTTGAGTTTTTCGGAGGCAAGACAGCTCGAGATTATTACCATGGCCGGGAGCCCAAGCTTTGAGGAACCGCGCTGAATATCCACTAGATGAGCGGTTCAGCCGACATGCCCTTCCATGTGGCTTCAATTGGTGTTCTGAGGGGCAAAATTAAAGTTCTTTCTTGCATGGTGGCGTGCCAGACATTTGAAACCAACGGCTCCTCCTGCCTAAACAAATGAGGAACCTCCAAATGTCTTCTGCCAGACTGGTGCTTCAGGGCTTAGTGGTGAATTACCGGACCGAGATCTTCAAACTGGAACAAATTTTTTGAGGTATGTGGGTATGGGTCAAAATTGAACCACCAACAAAAACAGCTGGTGTTAGTTCTTGTTTCCATTCACCAGGGTTATACACATGCACACGTTCTGAAATGTTCTGAACATGCCATGACCTGTTTGCAGGTATTTGTGGCTTAAGCCCAAGCCTCGTCGGGTCTGGAATATCCCCTTTGCCTGAGTTGTATGCAGCTGAGCAGATTAAGGAATTTCCTTTCCAGTATGTGACAACTGGCCCGCCCCTTTTGAGCATTTTGGGGCAGAGGGCTGCTATATATTCTGACAAGTCGCCCAGGTCAAAAGATATTGAGGCGGCAGGCGGCAGGCGGCAAGCCATCAAGAGGTCCACGCGCTTTAGAGGTACTTCCTCTCGGCGGGCCTCAGTGGCGCCATTGCCTCCGCTGCGACGCAGCCCCTGGATGTGGCTGGGAGCCTTGGGATTCGCAACTCAACCTGCCAAACGACCCCAAATGGGTGTGTCTGTTTGTAGGTACCCCCCCCCCCCCCCCACAATAAATAAATAAATGGTGATTTACCTTTTGGTTTCCCTTTAGAAACACCAAAAAGGCGCCCAAATGGCAGAATCGAACTCAGCAACCAGATAACATTTGCGTGACAGCCCCAAACAAGCGATGCCTATGATGGATCTTTTTCCAGGCCAATAGTCTTTGCTCCTGGTCTGGGAGGGTTATCTTAATCTTGGTTTTTTCACTTGATTAGTAAATCCTGGCTTCGCTGCTCGGACATCGTGTTCCAGATGAGTGATCAGGTGTTGCACGCAATCTTTGCAGAGGTACACTACGCTTCTTTGTATTTCAAGCGCGTTTCGAGAAAGCTCGTTGGACCATGGGCTGTGAGTCATACGGCAAACTGCTGCGTGAACGTGCCGGAGCTTTGGCTGCTGGCCAGATGTCAGGTGAAGACTAGGCTACAGACGCAGGCGGGCTGAGTATCCTGCCAGACTGCGGAGGGTTCAACCGTTAGATTTCAGGAGCATCTACAACAAAGAAAGGGATGGCACGGGGTTCACTCACCAAATTGCACCTAGTAGATAAGCTTGCTCATGACCAGAAGACCAGTTTCGTTTCTTGAGATCCTGCAGGACTGTCTGGTCAGCAGCGCGTCCTCATCCAGGCTTGAGAGACTGTGAGTGCAAGGGTGAGATGGATGGGGGAAATCAAAATCCCATTGGCTATCTTTCCTTGAGGGTATTTGCTGCCTGGTTTTCGGGTTTCTTTCCCATACTCGTACCCAGTAAGGCGACTTGACCCCCCCCCCGAAGGAGGTCCTGAAGCGCAAAAGGTATCTTCAAATCAGGAGACCAACAGAACAATTCGAAAGGAATTGTCAAAATTTGCATGAACACTAAGCATTGAACATACCTTGGCTGGGAGTCGTCCACCAGCCCTGGCGGCCAAATGGCAACAAATTGCAACTGGAGCATTGCATCACATTGGCTTAAGCTTTTGTACGTCTCCACTTTGACCACAGAAAACAGGTTTGGGCCAACAAGGGGCGTGAACAGGAAGATTAGAGGCTGCAGGCCCAGACAAGTCTGCTCATGGTGCGATTGCTTGGCTCACCTTAGCTTCACATTTACTTCCGGGATGGTTTTGCCTAGGCTTGAAAGAGTGCAATCAGTGCAAAACTGTGGGCTTCATGCCGGCCTACTGTCCCAACAGAAGTTCATTCGACTGCGGGCCTTGAGGGGTGGGTTGTCCGCAGGACGGATGGCAGCTCTTGCAGCCCCTGGGCAGCACAAGGAATCGAAGCATTCATTGCTTCCAGCGCGAGCCAAAATCAGACACATCCTGAACCTTGTTTGCCTTTCTGGCGGGATACGCGGTGCAAGCAATGGTAAACCATCAGACCATCAATCTACCCCCACCAACTCGGCTTCGATTGATGCCTGCTTTGGGCATGGCACTCTTCCGGTCTGGCGGCTTTTTGGATCCTCCAACTTCATGGCGGCGTACACCTGTCAGCATTGCAACCCCCAGACGCTTGGTGCATTGCGGGGTGCAATTGCGTCAAACGAACAGGACATCAAGTGCCGAGTGATCTCTCAGATATAGATGCTAGTGACTTGCCCAAGTCATCCCTAGGTTCAATGGTGACCCAGTGTTTGCAGTGATTTGAAATCTTCTTGTCTGAAGCTCGCTGTAAGCTTTTCTATGCCTGGACCAAACAGAACCGAAGCATGTCCGACAGGATGTCCAAGAACATGTCGGGTGAGCATGTTTTTTTTTTTTTTGCATTGCATTGGGCATGTGATGAAGCGCCACAAATCAAGTACAACCAATGATGCATGGCGTGTCCATCATCGCATACCAGATTCGTGCGCCTAGGGGAAGCCGCGGCCGAGACTCTAGGCCGAGTGGGTTGATGAGACTCAGAACTTTGTCAGACATGACGTCTGATATGGCAGTGTCCTACTCTAACTCTTTAGATATTCGGAGATTCTGCTTAGCATCAGCTTGCTCTGCGTCTTTTTGTGTGGCCCTTGACTTGAAACGAGGATTCATCCTATAGTCCATATTTGCTGATGCTTGATCATTAGACCTCCCCCTCTTGCTTCAGGGTGTGCCGATGTGGTAGGAAGGGTGGCTCCAGTGTCAATGTCTGAGCCATGTAAAGCCCTGGCTTCAGTTGTTTGCCGTGCCAGAGGTGAACGCTTCTGACGATGGCACCCTTCAATTCCCCTCCCTTGAACTTTGCTTGGTGTGTCGTGCTTGCGCCTGTCACCCGCCAGAAGCGAGCGCAAAGCGCACGCCAAAGTGACCCTTGCCGGACTTGCCGCTGTTGACTTGCATGTGCGGGGGTGGGGTGACCGGCCTAGTGAACCAACTTTGACCGGGTCAATCAAGATTTGTCGGATTCAATCATGCGCATCGCGAACAACTCATATGACATGATATTCTGACGTATCCTGGCACCGAGTGCTCCAACACTATGTTCGCCCGATTTTGCCTCCCAAACCCGAGGTACACGGGCTTCCTGGCCGCTGTGAGGACCATAGTCCGGGAGGAGGGCTGGCACGGCACTCAGCGCTTGCGGTCCGTGGGAAAGCCCATGGGTTGTACGGACAGAACATGCCGCAGGACAAATGCCAGCGCCATTCTGTAAAGCCGAATGATTCAATTGGCAACAGCAGCCATAGACGCATCGGACTGATAATCGATCGCAAGACGGATCGCCAACTTTGGTGGGTACTTTCTTCAGTTAGTTCAGTAAGTGCCAGTGTCTACAAAGATTCGAATCTCCAAACAAGTTGTTTTTGTTTGCGGCCTATGCAACGCACAATTGAGGTGCTCTTCTCCAGTCAATATGGATTTACAACATGATGCAATGTGCATTTCATAGAACAGGTGCAGGGGTTTAGACTAAAATTCCCCAGAAGAATCTCAAAGTGATCATCTTGCTCTTCAGCAGCAGTCTATGCTTGTTCTCACTATGTTTTTTCAAGCCAGCTCATCCCCCAGACATCCAACCATACCCACAATTCCCCGACCATACCGCCCAGCAATTATCCCATGCATGAAGAAGATACTCCAAACCGAAGCGGAGATGGAAGGACTGACCGGTACGCCCACGTACCGGTCTTCTCGGCCAAACGGGGCAGCTTTCTTAGGCTGGCGCTTTACACGGGCACCATGCCGCGGATGCTGCACGCAGTACCTTCTGCCGCCATGTGCTGGGGTCTGGAGCCCCAGCAATTTGTAAAGCTTCTTGGTTCTGGCTGTTGCTCAGGGAATCAAGAGGGGTTTTGGGAAGGAACCTATTCCTTAAAGGAAGCCACCTGGTTGATAGGGCTCAGTTTTGGGGCAAACTCCAGCTCGCCTAGGGAGCCACCAGTTGGATGTCATTCCAACGCATTCCCTGAGAACTGGCAAGAGTTCTAGCCATGTGGATTTTGTGCCAATCGCTGAGCAAGGGCATTATTGAGTCAAGTTCGGACGTCCGCCGGACCATTGGCTCATTGGTTTTCTTGTGTTGGCTCCATTTATATCAGGCATGCGTGAAAAAGACACCGCGGCTCGTTTTCAGCAAGCCACGGCATTCAATTTGGCGACAAATGGTGCAGGTGATGTGTTCCAGCTGTATGCTTAATGCTTTCTGTTGCCGCGGTTGAGTGGGCTCAGTGTTAGTGTCCCTCGCAAATTGGCCAACATTGGAAGTCATAATTGTTATCAGCAGCAAGCCACTACCTAAAACTGTTTGTCAATCAAATCATTGTTTTTGTCTGAATGTTGCTGTTCTTGCCACTCAAAGGCAAGGCCCCTTCTGCTGTGTGTATCAGGGTTTCGCAGTGCAGCATTAGCTTGGGTGGAAATGTGAAAGTGCCCTGACAAGATTCGTGCTGTGCAGGCACCTATGAAGTGGTGAAGACTTCTTTGCGAGACTACTAAGGCCAGGAGGGAAGGGATATGGATGCATGGCAGTTTCAGGGCGAAGCACATGTGGCTTGGCATTTGCGCGGGTTTGTGCAGCGTAATGATCAGACATGGCAATCGCAATCGCACGCAATGAGCATGGCATAGGCCGGCTCACTCATGCGAATTTTGCCCGGGCGCTGGGCTGTCCAGCCAGTCTTTTTGTGCTGTCCAGTCTGCTTGCTTCTTGGAGTCCTGACGTTTCTTTGGCACCGACCCGCTACCCAGGCACTCCGGTCCAGCAGTAGGTTGCACCGGGCCCTCGGGATCGGTTGTGCCCTGAATGCACCAGAACGCATGACGGACATGTCTCCATGTAAGTGGCTTGTTGTCTTTAGGGTTTTCAGGTGTCACAGAAGGTTACGCAGGGAGTAAAGTTGTGGAATCCATGAAGATCGTTGTGCCTGGGGTGCATTCAAGTCTTTCCTGAGTTGCATTTTCAAAGAGGCAGCTCAAGGAGATATTCAGGTCTCCGTCCTCGATGCTTGAGACCTGCTTTTCGGGCTTGTGTATATTTTATGTGGCTGTTTTTTTTTTCTTCTTTCTCTCTCTTGTTGAGTCTTGCTGCATGATTCAGCCAGGCTTTGCACATCGTGCCCGACTGAGGGCAGTGTTATGCTTGCGGGGAAGATGCATCGGTGCACACATGTTGTGCTGACGTGACCTGCCGGTCACGTGGCGTTGAGTCCAAAATTCCTGTATATTCCTGCATGGAGTGTTTTGCCGTGGCCTCTTTTTGTAGAGTGCAGAATATCATTTTGTGGAGTCTTGCAAAGAATGGATTCTTCGCCTGCATCCCACGCACAATGGCCGGTGTAGTTCATGACCCTTCCTGAAAAAGGAGGGCCCCGGCAGGGTAGGCCTGAGAGGGCAGAGCCGGTTGGACAAGCACCCCGTTTTGCATTCATGTACCTGCACATTGTGCCGGAGATGGGTGCTCTTTGCAAAAGGATCAGCCGTCCTCGTGCTACGTGAGTGCAGTTCTTTCGCACCCTTGCTGCGACTGTGTCAAAGCATGCTCACAAATCTGTTGTCGACTCGGGTAAGAATTGCTGGCTTTTCTCCTGAAAATCGCTGTGCTGAAAGCTACTTGGACAGTGCCGTTTTTGGTGCTGGCATGGGCCCGATCCAAACTTTATGGTTTCCTGAGCTTGCCTTTCTCATGCTATTGCACGCATAGAAATCCCTCCAATGAAGCCTGCAATGAAACCTCGTGACAAAGAGGCATGGTCGCTGCTTGGTGGAGCCGTAGTGACTGAACAAAAAGTCTGCCACAGTAGGCTTCTCTCCGTGGGATGAGAAGACGTCTCGCGAGCCAATCCATACCCGAGCCGTCGGTTCCACAGTCAAAAGCGCTGCGCTGGGGTGCGTGTGTGACCCAGCCCTCATGAACGCTCTGGATGTGAACCAGGCCTTGCGCAGAAGCCCCGTGTAAGAGGTGAAGTGTTCTCCGATCTGCAGAGGCTCATGGTGCGTGCCGGTGACATTGCAATTCCTATCTCTGAATTTTGAGGTGTTTGATTGTATGTATTGCTCTCAAGCACCAAAGCCGGTCTCAAAGCACAGAGTTTTGGATTCATCTCGATGCGGCTCAATGTTCGCTCCCCGAGCGCGAGGAGTGAGGAATCGGCCGATAGCAAGCTAAAGGAATTTGGGCCTGCAGGCATTTGCAGCGGCTCACACATACCAGAGCTTGCATGATGCACACGCACACATATATATATATATATACATATATATCTATATATATACATATGTATATATATATACACATACACATACAATATTTGCATATATATATATATGTATTGCATATATATATATATAATATATATATACATGTATATGCCAAGGAAGGCTTGCTCCATTTGAACCGGTCGGAGCATCGAAGGAAAGAAGCAGGTGGCATACGGCTGCCTTTCCCTTTTTTTTGCTATGAGCTGGCCTAGTCATGGAGCAAGTGCGAGGCGAGTGGCTCAGCTTGGTTGCAAGAGGCTGGTCTCCAGTGAATCATTCTGGCTTTGGCCATGCAATCCATATCCGGGGTCTCCCCAAACCATCGTTTTCGGAGCCCAAGCCATCCAAAAGAATTTCCGCCACTTGGCCATTCTTTGGTTTGACCTCTCCGCGGGAAAATGACCGTTTCCCTTCGGGAAGCCGATTCCGAGGCACTGGCCTGGGCCCAAAAACGGGCACATCTGAGCCATGGCCAGCAGGGGGCTCAGGCCGCCCATTTGAGCCCTGAAATGATCAGGCAGACGCAAAATGGTCGCCTTAGATGTGAAAGTGGGTTTGTTTTGGATTCATGAGGTGTCCAGATGCATCCGAAGGGATGGCCACCGGTTACTTGAACCATAGAGAAACACCATTGGAGCACGCTCTCCCATTGGGAATCTGTGTCACAAGCGTCACAACTCGAGACTTCATTAGCTTTGGTGTCATGATGCCAACCCGATTGTGACCCGTGCGTATGCCAAAGATTGGGATGCCAAATGGCCAGTTGGACGAAGCGCGTGCGCCAGTTACAGCTCTTCGATGCCTGGGCGCGGAGCTCACCAGGGCAGGAGATCCTGCGGTGCGAGGCGCGGGGGTTGCCTTTTGGCGCAGCGTGCTGCAAGGGTTTCGTGAAACAGGGTCTGATTACTTTAATAACCTCCGAGAGTGCCAGATGAAAGACTCGTGGTTGAGCATAGGCAATCATTCGACACCCTGCGCATCCCGGCATTGCTGAGAATTCCCGGCCGCATCCTCCAGTTCGCACAGAGTCGTACAGATCTTGAGGGTGCAAAGCTTGAAGATATCGATGATTGCTTGCTGGTGAGCAGAGGCACTTATTGTGTGTCGATTTCTCAATGCAAGTCTTCTAGCCATGGGTTTGTTAAAGTAAACATTTGAGGGGTTGTGCAAATTACGTTTGGCGCATGCATTTAATGTTCACCACCACCCAACATGTCATTTTAAGCTGGTTACGTGACTGGACCCAGTAGCACGTTGCCTGTTTCCATGGCAGCTTCATGCAAACCATGACATTTTGATAGAGAGAAACGTGTTGCCTAACGTGGTAAAATAAAGGCCCCTGCAAAAATGACACTACTCCTCGAACTGCCTTTGTGAATTCTTCTGCATCGAATCCAGGATATATTCGCTAACGTGTACAGACATCATATTTTCACGCTGCAATCTGCATGCGGACCACCCTCAACTTCTGAAAACGCAACGCCACATGACATCAAACTTTATATGCATGTCTCCACAGGCTATGAAACTACTGTACTGCAGCACCCGGTCTGCTTTTTGCGTTGCGCTGGGAGTCCTTCACCAAGTGCGCCAAGGGTTGCTTCTATTCTCAGCAGGGCACTGGGCTCAGGCGCTGGCCCTCACGGGCGGGGAGCTGTTGGCGCGCAGCGAGCGCCTTGCGCAGCTGCTGAGGCGTGGATCGAGGGAAACCCCGACACCTTTCGGATTTCGGGGAGGGAGCCTGGTTTTGGGGGAAGGGGAAGCCCCAGCCGGCGCAATGATTCCCATCATTTTGCTTCACGACTCGCTTTTGGTTTTGGACCTTTGGCAAGGCCTGGGCCTTTCGTGGCAGTTTGCCTTCCCAGAGGCTCGGAGTTTTGGGAGCATTTGCATGTCGATGTGTCTCATTTGAGCATTCCCGAGCCAAAAGCTCGCGTGAACAGTCAAACGCAGCGCCCGTTCGGTCACGCGTCCATTCTTTCGGACACTTTGGGCCGTCGAAACCGCTATCCGTGAGAACCGAGCTTGTTCCTCACCGTGCGAGGTGCCGGTCTGGTGGTGGCGCTGCTGGCTGTATGGCGCGCCGGCAAGGCAAGCGGCTGCAGTGGTCCCTGCTTGGCGTGGGGTTCAATTGGCTTCTTCATATCTTGAGATGGATTTGGCTCTCCATGGAGTCATTTGCATGAAGCTTAGAAGAGGATTTGGACTCAGAGCATGAGCCTCAACACCAGACAGAACACAGCTGCCATTCCGTGTGCTGTGACTGTCTGAGCATGGTTGCTTGCCCGGTTGAATCGGCTACGAGAGGGCTTATTACAAATGTCTCATTATGACCAACCATCTAAGAAACCATCTCCAGCAAGTTGTCCAGATTCTCCAGGCAGTTTGGCCCTGGTGTTTGTGGGTATTCGGCGAAGTCTGGCAAAGGCCTACGTTCCCTTGGAGCCCAGCTACCCCTTGCCTCGACTGCGCTTCATTCTGGAGGACTGCCAGGCGGGAAGCCGGGAGCGGATCCTTTGTTTTTTTTTGGGTGTGAGAACTTTCAGCTTGGAATTGGAACCAGTCTTTTTGTGAACTCTGGAAAGAGTCGTAGTCCGGCCTTGAAGCCAGCCTCGGCGGTTCAGGAGTTGATAGTTAGCCGAGGGCAATTTGCAGGTCCAAGCTGCAGCTCCGCCGGGAGTCTTGCAGGAGATGACATGCGGAAAGCGACCTTAGTACCACGCCAAAGCATCGCGCAGTTGTCAGAGCCAAGCAACCCAAAGAAGGCATGAAGCTGCACGCCGCCAGTCCAGAAAATCAATGCAAAGCGCCGTTATGGGGGTTGCAAAAACTTAGAAGCAGAACCGTGTACTCCAGGGTGGGTTTCGTTCGGGGGGGGGGGAGCAAGGCAAACACTAAATTGCACGCAGCTGACTTATTTGCCCAATTAGCGAAAAACATGTTCACTCTTTGTACAATGTGCAAGGGGCAATGGCCATCAAATCCTTTCGCGCTGAGATCCTTCCAGCGTAGGCCTCCCTGGTGCTGGTGGAGCGGAGCACCGAGCCCCGGGGTCTTTGTGAAGATGGGCGGCTGCTGAGGCAGGTCCCCGTGGGCCCGGGATCGGATACGCTGGCATCTGAGCCGCGTTAGCGTACTTGATCCAAAGCGTTTTGGCCGGACCTGACATTTTGGTGCTCCCGTTTTTTCTTTCCCCCCCCCTCACCCCCCCCCCCCCCCGGTTCTTTTTTTTCCTCCAAATACGTCGACCTGAAAAGGCCTTTGCTTCCTCGCGCGCGCGCCAGGCCTCGCATGTGAGGCGATCTCCTCAGCATTTTTCCTTTCCGCGGCCATCCGCGCCGTCCGCCATCTCTTGGCCATCACCCCGAGCCAGTGAAGCAAAGCCGATGCGTGTTGCGCATACCTCTGGTGCTTGCGTGCCACGCTGGCTGCTTATCCAAAGATTAGCCTTATTGACCGCAGAATCTGCAATCCAGGCGCTGACCCCTCCCCCCTGCACATCCCACGCAGTGGCCTTGATTTCGTTTTGTAGCAGCCGCAAATGACCAATCCAATTTGTTGGTTTCTTCCCGTGCCATGCTGCAAAAGCCTCAGGCTGTCCTGGCCTGGCGGTGAGCCGGAGGGGTTGGAGGCGCCGCTGGTGCAGGGGCCGCCGGAGGCGCCCGGGCCGCAACCCCCAGCCAAAGACGATCCCGAAAAGGTGACACATTGTGGCGCCTCATTTTGAAGGGGTACGGACCCAAAAGGTTCGTGCTATTTCGCTCACACCCCGATTTTGGACGCTTTGTCAGAAAAGATGCCTAGATCCTTTTTCCTGGAACAAACTTCTGTGATCGCGGATGTGGCATGGGTCATGTGTTTTTCCTGAGTGTTTTGTCAAAGCAAGGTGTTTCTGTTTGTGTTTGTTAGGAGCCGACCCACTTGGCCTACCTGATCTACACCTCGGGTTCCACTGGACAGCCCAAAGGACCGGCCGATGGGAATTTGTTTTGAAGCAACTTGCGTCAATCGGGAATTGGATCCTTTGACATGGGACTGGAAACACCTGCCATTATTTTTGGTGGGACATCCCACAGACCCCTCTTGGGATGTGGGACTGCCGAGGAGTCCTGGTGTCACAGGCGGCTGTGTGCAATGTGCTCCACGCTTTCAACGGGGCGCTGAGGCCTGAGGAGGCTGGGGTAAGGAACTGCCCGCGGTTTGGGGATGCGGATGAAGGTGAGGGGGGGAAGATGTGGTAGGAGTTTGGTAGTATGAGTGGCATCTTTTGAATACAGCCGTTATTCAGCCTCCGGTTAGTTGCCTTTGCTGCGCGCTCCCGCGGTCTCGGCAGATCGCGCAGCTCATTCAATCCAAGCGGCTGCATTCCATTTGTCAGGATCCATCAGATGTGCTCGTTTCCGTGACGACCTTCTGCTTTGACATCTCAGTCTTGGAGCTGCCTGTCAGCAAAAAGTCTGGTTGCACCGCACCGTGACTTCATGATTCATAGTGGCTCTGTGAAACGGACTCTTGGGCCACAATCTTGAAAACACAAATCAATTTGGAATCTGCGGTTACTTTCTGCGGCCGGGAACAATCTACTTTTTCTGACAAATCGTATGGGTTGTCGATTGTCAGTAGCAGAAGGTTACCCTGACATCAGCGAGTGCGTGCTCGGATGTCGCTTCCCGAGGATGTTTTGGCCGCTGTGCTTTGGCTTTCGACTCTTGGACCTGAAATAGCAAATCACCTAGTCTGGCGAGCAGAAGCGCCTTTGGCCCCTCCATTGTCTCCAGTCATGTCCTGCTTGTGAGACAACGGAAGCCACACGCGCTGTTGTGGAGGGCGGAACTCTCCGGATGACTTGCGTTGGAGGCCTGGTGCTCTGCTCCCTGGCGGTGGCACGGAGCGGCGGTTTGCTGCGCAGCGCGCTGGAAGGCGTGCGCGGAGCTCGCCTCATCTTCCAGGCCCTGGAGACAGTCCGCGGGAATGTGGGAACCCCGCGCTTGGAGGGCAAACCAAGACGCGCTGTCGATTCTTTGTCTTGAAGTGATTCTCTGCATCGCTCGCCATGTCGTGAATCAGGAAGAAGGGTGAACACAATGCAGAGGATTTTTCTAGCAGAGTCAGCAGGTCTCACGCTGGTTCATGTGCGGAACCTCTCGCAGGCCACGCCCAGCAGCTACCGGGCGCTGCTGCAAGCAGGCGAACAGAACCCTCCCAGTCCCAGCCCGCCACTTGTGAAATCTCACAGAAAGGCCCCATTAGCCAGCCATTCGAGGAGGCGAGAAATTGGGAACCCAGCCAAAGTGGCTGTGGAGGGCTGAAACTGGCAACAAGCAACGCGCGCCTGACAGAGCACGCCCTCTTTTGCCAGGATTCGTGGGCTTTCGGGACTGCGCGCTATTTTGGGACAATGGATGTTTGCCCATGGTGGTATCTTCACCCTTGGTTGCAGCAAGTTTGACATGTGATAGACACTGTTTGAATCGCAGGCTGGAGTGGAGGACCTCACGTGACCGCAATTTGTGGTGGTGAAGTGGGGTACTCAGCAAGCAGTGTGGAGCCAGTTCTGGGTGGCCACTTAGGGTCCATCGATGGGGAAAATAGAGGTTGAGGTGGGATTCCCAGCAGCCGCACTTGCGATTCACAGCACTTGTGATTCCCGTGTTTTGGGTATGAATTCGAGCATGTGCATGTATCGCGACATGTCCAGGGTTTGCCTTGTTCAAAGGTATTTTGTCGAAGCTCAGAAGGCTACTAAACGGTCAAAGGCGGTGGAGAGTAATACGCACGCAGACAGAATGTGTGTGTGTATATATATATATATATACACACATTAGCGGCTGCCTTTACTGCGCTAAAGTCCGTGCGGTTACATGAGGTAGGAGCACCCCCAAAACGAGGTAGGGCCGTGACATATAGGCGGCTGAGGTCAGAAGCGCATGCGGCGTTGGAAAACGAGGTCATTGAGTCCAAACGGGTGCAGGGTTGGAGAACGAGGCGGGAACACCCGATCATTCAAGCAGGCAGCAAACAACTGCCGCTCATACACACACACACACATATATATATATATATATGTATATATATTTTCTTTGTTATATGCATGTGGGTGTATGCACACCTGCACGAGTAGAGCAGACACTAACACCAGCAAGTTACAGATCCTACAAATAGTGATATTTGATCATAGCCATGCAACTGAATCATATATATATATATATATATATTTATACATAGCACTCACGTTTACGGAGCTGCGCCTGTAGACCCGATGGCGGAGGTGTTGCCCGGACCTCGGGTAGGCTTCGCTCCAACCGTGTGTCGCCCCAACAACAACAACAACGACGACGACGACGACGACAGCAGCAGCAGCAGCAGCAGCAGCAGCAGCAGCAGCAGCAGCAGCAGCAGCAGCAACAACAACAACAAAAACGACAGGAACAACAACAAACACGACAGGAAGAACAACAAAAACGACAGGAAGCACAACAAAAAAGACAGGAACGACAACGACAGGAACGATAACAACGAGAACAACCACAATAACATAGCACACCCAAACACATACACATGCTGTGTTACAAGCAAACACACAGACACACACACACACACACACACACACACACACACACACACACACACACACACACACACACACACACACACACACACACACACACACACACACACACACACACACACACACACACACACACACACACACACACACACACACACACACACACACACACACACACACACACACACACACACACACACACACACACACACACACACACACACACACACACACACACACACACACACACACACACACACACACACACACACACACACACACACACACACACACACACACACACACACACACACACACACACACACACACACACACACACACACACACACACACACACACACACACACACACACACACACACACACACACACACACACACACACACACACACACACACACACACACACACACACACACACACACACACACACACACACACACACACACACACACACACACACACACACACACACACACACACACACACACACACACACACACACACACACACACACGCCCTTCGCCAAGTAGATGGTGCAAATGATTGGCACACTTCCAACAAGTGCTTCTTCATTAAAGTACTCCGCGGTCTCCAGCCTAAGTTTCCTTTCTCAGCGCCCCTTGGAGGCCTTCCCGACCGTGCTGGCGGGACCGCTTCACCAGAACGGTGCAGCGTGGCTTCTTGGCAAAGGCGTTGCGTCTCGTTGCGTCTCATTCGCCGCGATTCAGTCGCCGATAGGGACTGGAATCAAGCTGTCAGGTTCAGACCGTTTCGATGGGCCTGCAAAAGCAAATCCAGTTGTTTCTGTGCGCTTACAATATTTCCAAGCTGAGGAGGATATTGTTTCTTGCCGTTTTGGTTGCGATTTTGGCAAATGAGCTGTGTGTCCAAACAACTTGACTGACTCCAACCATTTGTCATGAGTGCTTGCGCCCGCATGCACGCAGCATGGCTCCCTTGACATAAGCTGTTGCCAGGGCCGTCTAATGGTGCAACTCACAGTACCTTGGTCTGCTGGCATGGAGCCTTATTTCCTGGCCAAATCTGCGCCCGAAAAGTAACACCACAGTGTCCTGTGGCTGTTGACATGCAGAGGATCCACTTTCAAGGACAAGGAGGGCCTTCCTTTGGGAAATCAAGCACTGCTGCACTGCCCCGGTTTCGAGTTGAGTGTTTGAATCTTGGACCAATTTCACAACAGATCTTGTCCGTGACACGTGACTCAAAACGACTTGCTTGCCACGTCTGGAGCCTTTGGACTGCGTTGGTCCCCGTCGCCGGTCCCAGGAACGCCTACGGCCCCACGGAGGCCACTGTGTGGTGTGCAGCCCATCGGCTAACCGATGCCGACACCAACGGTGCGCCGGTGCCCATCGGCGGGCCCGTGGCAGGTGCGCAGCTCGCAGCTCGGAGCTCGCACGTGGGACAGGTGCTTTCAGTTTTTCGGCCTTTGTCCATGCAAACAGGGGGACAGGTGGATAACTGGGGGGCAACTGAGAGGGTCCAAGCTTGAATGTCAGCATTCACGTGGCAAATGTTTGGATCTGAGAGACCCACAGCCTTTTGGCAGCGTCTTGCGCATGGTAGCTCCTCAAGCCTCAAGCACTTGAGCCGATAGGTTCTCCTGGGCAAGTCCAAGCTGAAGAGATCCTTTGCAACAGAGGGCATATTGACTGCCTCAAAGCGCAGCAGTTCCCAGTGCTGCATGATTACGACCCGCTTTTGAAGTTGGACTGCTCATGTCAATCCTGCTTGGCAAGTAGAACCAATCTTTTCTCGGCAGTCTTGCGCTTACACTTGAGCAAGATACTCGGGCTCAGAATCTGCCTTTTCCTTTTGCAGGTATTCCAAACTTCCCCCGAAGGTGGAAGGACCGTGCTGGGTCAGGGGAATCGCCCTGCCAGGGATGCAGCTCTTTGTGGAAGGCGACGCAGGCCAGCCGCGGGATGTTCGAGCAAGGGCTATCCTGAAACGGGCTCCTCTTTTTGAGCCATCGGCAAGGCCCGACACTGCCTTGTTTTGCAACATGTGTTCTGGACATATTGTGGCAGCATCAGATGGGTCAGTGAGTCCAAGATTTGGGAGCCGTATCCAGGCGTTTCTTTCCAAAGCTTGAGGGTGATATATAGAAGCGGAGCCTGCCCGGAGGCGATGATGGAGGTGAAGTAGAAGGCAGGGGCTCACCTTTCAGTACGAATGCACTTTATGCAGTTACTCATATACTTCGGAAACATGTATGATCTGAAACGTACTGTAGATATCGGCCTTGTCATGCTGTGAGTTATTCAACACAGCAGCGTCCACACCATGAAACGCAAAGCTGAAAGCTGAAAGATCTAACACCTGGCGCATGCAACCTCTCGGGGCCGAACGCTCCAAATCCTGCACAGGGACAAGCCATGAGCATGTTTTGGGTTTGAGGCTCTAATTCATGGTTGCGGTGTTTGTGTGTCGCCCAGTGTTCGTGTCAATTAGCAACAAGGATACATTCACAGGAAATCTGTGAGAGCACGCAAAATGTGTTTCTGTCTTGGAGACATAAACAATATTCTAAGATGCATTCCGAATTTACAATTAATGGACTTATTTCTTTTCGCATCTTTTCTTTCTCCTTTTTAAATATGACTTCTGCTTCTCAATTTCCAACATATTGTTTGGCAAGCGGATCACTCACTGACTCGCAGATGTGTTTGTATTAGACATTGACATTCCCATACTCCGGGATTCGTACTCGGAAAGCGGATTCGCATTCAGGTCGCCAGAGTTGCTCCCCAATCGGAGGGCTTCCCGTGCTCGGAGCACGGGTCGCTCGTGTCAGGGGAGCTGCTGATTGGGGGCGTCGGCCTGGCGGAGGGCTACCTGAAGCGCCCGGAGCTCACCGCGCAGAAGTTCCGCCCAGGACTGCGAAGCGGCCGAGCGGCCGAGCGGCCGAGCGGCGTGTCGGTTTCGGGTGTGTCCGCGGGTGTCCAATTTCAGGTGGTTTGCTCTTCTTTCACAAGTTTGGGCGATGACAAAAGCAGCCTCGAAGAATCCTTTTTTTTGTTGTTGTTTGGGGCTGAACCGACAGGTTCATCATTGCGTCCAGATGTGTTCGCTTGTGGCCCCCAAATCACCGCAGGCCACTTTATCAGGGCAGTAGCAGGCTATACCAAGTTGGTTGCTTGAATGCGCCTCATTTCAGACATGTGATATTTTCTTCGACATATTCTTGCGCACTCATTTCCAATTTTCTAGTCTTCAGCCTTTTTGCATATGTCGCTGACCCAAACAGGCAGCTGAACCTATGTTTGACAACTCACAAGGAACAGGATTCCATTCTCCTTGAAGGTGAAACCTGCCCGCCGCAGGCCCTTTGGGTCGCCGGGTTTTCTGCAGTGGCGACCTGGTGCGGCGCAGGGAAGGCTTGCTGTGGTGCTTGGGCCGCCGGGACCACCAGGCGCGAGCTCGCAGCTGGCTGACTTGAGAAGGTAAGCCCAGTTGCTCTGCGACAGAGGAAACTTTCTGTTGGAGGAGCTAGACAAAAGGGTTTCCAGGCAGTACGGCCCGGACGCATCTGAATGAGATTGCGCGACACATGGCTCGCTGCCCAGGAGTGATCCCTTGGATTTTGGCCAGAGATTCGTATGTTCATCGCACGTGGCACGCGAGGTGAAGATCCGGGGCTTTCGCCTAGAGCTGGGGGAGGTGGAAGCCACTTTGGAGGCTCAGCCGGAGGCGCAGAGGAAGTGGGTCTTCCGGAAGGGGTACATGAGCGATGTCATGCGAAAGATCGCAGGACCCAGGTTTTGAGTAGAGGTGGGACATGGAGACATACTAAAGCAACCGTGGTCATTGGCAGGAAACAGAATGCCGAGCACTCGGAACTCTCGAATTGCATCAATATCCGCCGGACACTGGAACTGAAGGCTAGGGCGCTTGCAGAGAGGCCACATCCGCATCGCAGGTGCGTGGGGCGGTTGCATTGGTGCTGGAAGGCGGGAGGCATCGCCTGACCTTACGTCGCCAGTTTGGGATTTGATAGGCCCAACAGCAAACACACAGCCCAGATGGTGTGCTCAACTGCAAGAACCCTATCCAGCCACGGCTCCATGGAAACCCTGACAAGCTGCTCCCTGGAACCTTCCGTAACCTTCCGGAATGCTCTGAAGTCCTGCCCAACCGTGCCATGGAACCGGCCGGAAGCCCTCCTGAAGCCTCGCAGCGATTTGCGCATGTACGCTCACCAATATTCTCTCGTTGAAGTGGTCCTTTATGACGCAACGGGGGCCTACATTGGAATTGAACCTTGGGCGCTTCCATCACTAGCCTGAGCTCAGGCATAGCTGAAGGAAGCTCAGGGATCAATTTCTGGTGCCCGGATGCCCTTGTCAGGTCAAAGGCGTGTGATCAGGAGCCTACGTTTTCGGAAGATCATTACTACGAAAAGAAATTACGGATTTTGTGTAGGCCAATCCGCCAGGATTTGAGGGACCAAAGGACTGGAAAGGCACTTTTGCTGACAGTTTCCAACTGGTGCTGCAAAGTGACATCTCTGGTTTAGCACATGGTCGTTTTGATCTCACAAAGTGCTTATGCCGGTTTCGGGCGGGCTCAAAGAAGGGAATTCAGACGGCCAAACAATCTGAATTTAAACCAGTGCAAAGATTGTTACACTGCATGAGCACAGAGCGACCAATGCCGTGCAGGCAAAAAAGACCCAGCAAGAACCTGCCATGTCAGATGCACCGGTTTTCTACCTGGCATTACTTTTTTTTGATTTGTTCAAGGGAAGTTAAGAGGCTAACCACCAATTTGGGGGGGACCCGAAAGAAGACGCCACCCCGCGGTGCTTTTTGGCTCCGCTTTCCACGAGGCGAGCTCCTGGCCGTGGTCGCCGCGGCCGGCCCTCCGCCGGCGCTGCGGGCTTCGCTGCGGGCGGCGCTCGCGGCGCTGCCGAGCTACGCGGTGCCGCGGCGCCTGGCGGCGCTGGAGCTGATCGGGTCTCAGGGTCTCAGTGGAGCAAAGTCTCCCGGATGGGCGGTCCGTTCTTTTGTTTTTTGCCCGTTTCTTTGCCCCGGAAAGAATACCACCTGCCAAAAAAAAGAATCACCTAAGAAAAGGAGGTAGCCTGGAACAAAGGCAGATACCCAAGTGGGCGGCCTTTGAATTGCTGGGATAGGGTTCGGATGGGTTTGCGGTTTGTTGATCCAAAGCCCAGTGCAAGAGAAAGGCTTGCAGTATACCAACACTGCAATTGTTGCAAGTCTGCAAGAGGGGCCTTTTCTATCACAGCTGTTTTCCCCCTTGAACCAAATGACCTCAGTCAAAGGGACCTTTGTCTAATTCAAAACTGCAGTGCAGAGCATGGGCATTGGACTCATTTGGACTCCCGCGTTTTGACATGTGGGTGTTCTGGCCTCTGACAGCCAGGAGGCCTTACCGCTGCTGCCTAGCGGAAAGGTGGATCGCCGGGCGCTGCAGGAGCAAGCAGAGCAAGGCCAGTGTCATTCTAGCTGCAAATTTGCAAGCTGACTGTACGTATCATGTGGCTGTCAACATGAGGGACCCCCTCTTCCGACTCTTTGAAAAAGGCAGGCCGACACGAAGTCAGGGTCCAAAACGGCCAGTGATATTTGTTTAACACCCCAGCTTGCAAGTCTTGGACGCATGGTGCGCCTGCCAGCCATGTTCCTCACTTCCTCGAAGGTGCCGCTGGTTGCTTGACCTTTATGTGCACCTTTCAGCCGCAATGGGCACTTGACTTTCTTCGAGTTTATGGTTGTTTCTCCAGTTTTTCTATGAGGATAGCATACTGCAGGTCCCTGTGCTAAACAGCTTAGACTGCAAGGAAAAGACAAGCGAACCAGCGGCCCTTAGCTGCACAAAATGCCCTTGCTCGGTCTGCGTTGGAGGCCGACTGGAATTTTGGCCTCTGGCGGACACGGATGAGCGTGGCGCGGAGGCAGTCTCTTGGGCCCAAGATGTGTGTTGCTCTGCTCACTCCATTCACTCATCTCTGGTTCAACATACAACATCACAGTTTTGTGCAGCGACGAGCAGTCGCTGCGCGTGAGTCATTGCGAGGATTTTCATATAGACGGAAGCGGGCATTTGACATTCTTCTCAGGGAGCTTTGATAGTACCGGTTTTTGGGCTGGTTGATTGAACTAGTGGTATCCCAACAGCAACCTTCAGAACCTTTCTGGAGCCTTCCACAACTCCATGCCACTGAAGCCGGAAGCTTTCTCCGCACCTTCGGAACCCGCAACCCGAGCCCTTGGAGCTGCTGTGGACTCCGGAGCTTGGGCAGAGAGCCGATAGCGCTCAGCTGGGGAAGAACAAAGACCACGCACTCACACAAAAAAAATCGGGCAAATCACCAAAACCATCTGGTGAATAGAGATCTGCACGATCTGGCTAGGGATTTCTCAAATTATCATGAGCAAAACAAATCGCTGGAGTGTTGCAGAAGCTTCGGGCAAGATCTTGTTGAAGGAGTTCTTGTGAGCAATCTCTTGTCGACTGCATGAGATGTTTTGGGACGAGCCCAGCAACGTCTCTCCAGATGCCCAGGAGGTCTCTTTCAGAGGACCTGCGCGCAAGATGCCAAGTTCCCGCAATCGGAATGACGCGTTCAATGGACTGGGCCATTGTCGCTCACCTAGGCTTTCCAGGCAGTGCAGAAGCAACCTGGAAAATCTGCCCCATTCCTCAAGATAGTTTGACCAATGCGCATGTGTTCCTGCGCGGGCATGGACCCGGTAAATCCGAGGAGGCGCCCTTTTCCCGGAGAAGCATGGCTTCAAGACCGTCTTGAATTCTAGTCCAATGACAATGCAGCAACTTTTCCCATGATTCATGTGGGATTTTCATAATTGCTGGAAGACCGGGTCTTTGTGATCTTCAAGCCCTGAAGGTGCGACCTTTGCGGGAGGTGGTCATCGAGTCAGTGGCTATGGTCACGGGCGTGACAATCGAGGAGCCGCACGAGAATGGCCCGGGCTATGGCATGATGTCATTCCCAGATGTCAAGCCGTGTCAAGTCATGTGGAGAGCCGCACAACACACATGTTTTCAACCAGAAGGTGTTTGTGAATGTTGAAATAAGAGAGTACCACAATTGGGTGCCAAAGTCCTTGCAAAAACTGCCGAGGTCTGGTGTGCGTGCTTCGCAGGTTGTTGCCCTGGAAGTTTCAGCAGAATAGCCACCCAAGCATCCTGCTGATGCTCACACCTTTGCACACATCGATGGCGTGCTGAGCGTGTAGCGATGTGCTAGCGGCATTCAGCCGCTTGGAAATAATGCTGCAGAAGGTTTTGGCAAGCGCAGGACAATACAGAGGAATTTGTGTCGCTGGGCATTGACTCGATGAGCCGCTTTGGTTGCAGAGGGCTAAATGGGGGGGTCACGGCTCGAAACTGCTTCCGATTTTCAGGTTGTGGTGGGGTTGGACAGCCCTTTGACAAGAACTGAGACGATATCGAGAATGACATGGCACATGCAAACTTTTCCGGTTGAGCTGACTGCAGAATTGGTGGCATTTGGAGCAGCTCTTAGCTGAATCGAAATGCGGTAATGTCCTGAGCCATTCAGCTCATTTCCGCGTGTTCGTGTCTTTTGGGTGCCCTTTTTGAGAAGGATTCCCTTCCAAACCTATGGAGGTTGCAGGGGCCTGTGCTGAACGGGGCTGAGAGGTGCTGTACCCTTGGCCGAGCTGCTCTCAGTGCGGTTGCTGCAGAGTGCCGAGCTGCCGCTGGAGGATCTTTACGTGAGCCGACCCTTCGGTGGGGGCCAAACGATTGAAACAAACATGGTTTGTGGATGTTTTAAATGACTTGTACCTTCCCCCCCCTTTGCTTTGGTTTGTCCAAAAGGTCTTGTCCAAGTGAAAAGCAGAAGCCTCTGATCTTTTGACAAGTTTCTGTTTGGCCTTGAGAGGTATACAACACCTTGCAGGCGCTTTGCGGCTACTTGCAAGGCTGGGTGCGGTGGGTCTGCCTCACCCGGGCTCCATTAGAAGTTCTGCAACTATTTGCACAACATCCATGATTCTGTGGAGCGTTTTGCGACACATGCAAATTGTGTGTGTCCAGCCATCATGTTATAGTTTCGGGAAGAAGTTGTGGATACAATCAATTACATTGCGTTGCGTTGCGTTGCATTGCATCGCATGGCATCGCATCGCATTGTATTGCATCACATCACATCATATCACATCACATTTCATAACATGCATTACATTACATGACGTACATACATACAAACAAACATGCATTTATTTCGTTAAACAAAAACAGCATAACTGCAGCTGTGGGTGGGTGTGTTTGCTCCCATCCGCAGCCTTAGCCAGGCCGAATGGCAGAGCTCACTTCGGAGCAAGCTCCGCCTGGTGCCAAGCCGGACAGGATGCCGGGACGCCGCCTGCTGCCAGTGTTGCAACTGCATCACTCGACTCGTTTCCCATGGGATTCCAAAAAAGGGTTGCACCCAGAAATTCTTAGCTCGGCTTTGCCTGCTTGTGTTTAGAGGCCGCAAGCCACGAAGACCAAGACCTATGCCCAGCTGAAGAAGAGTCCGACACTTA